GAATCCCAGTTGCGCCCTTGATGTCGTACCATGGCAAGGCCAAAGGTGCTCAGTGATTTCTAAACGTGGCAGCTACAGGACACACTCAATTACCATTGGCTATCTCTGCGACTTGACAGCACAAAGCCACCATGGATACTCACAGAGAAACAAAACACTCTGGCAATTCCATTAGCATGCTGGGCGCTTGCCAGCAACTCTCTGCATTATGTTCCATGGTAGACAAATTGGCAGTCAAAATGGTGTTGTGAAGGGAGCTAATTGCTTGAGTGCAGGGTTAGCCTGTAATTCATGTGAGACTCGAAATGCACAGGGAGATGGGCTGACCCAACTGTCTGACGTGTCCTAAGATGCGGCGATGAACGTGATACCAGAACTCCTCTGCTGTTGTGATCTGACATTTCTTGTGAAGGAGAATGTTATTCATTAGCTTTTTGCTAATGAGCCAAAAGCTTAAAGACCCAGTGAAATCAAAAGTGTATTATCTTTGGATCATCTAGCCACCTTATTTTGCAATGCGGAAGTAAGCTTTTTCTGTGAATGTGCGAGACTTCCAAATTTATTAGCTGCTATAGGTAAATACCTAATAAAATAGACTAAACGGAAAACTATTTGCGCTACAATCCAGGGTGTTTATGATTATGAATACCAGTTTGCAACATCAAGCAGCATAACCAACATTTTTTGTACAGCGAAAATAACTGGATGACACACGAAGCCTTGCCTTGTATATTCAAGTAACTAGGGTAACCATACGTCCTCTTTTTCCTGGACGGACGGGGATTTCTAAATTGCCTAAAATGTCTGTTTTTCCCATTAACATTATTCCCTCTTGAACACTGCGATTGGTTGATTGTTGTACAATGCCTGCACGCTGTTGTTCAAACTACTTTTTAGTAATTATCTTCAGCAAATATGAAAACAATAGGAAAAGAAAGGCACATTTTAGGCAATTTAGAAATCCTGTCAAGGACATTTTCGCAAAAAAAAAAGGGTTTATGGTCACCCTAAAGTTATAAAATGGATGGATATGCTAGTATTTTCCTAAACAAATCCATCATTAACAGATGTAAACATAAAAAAAAATGTGCAGTCTTTTTGTTATAGGTTATATGTACACAACTCTGATAGCAATAGTAAATTGTGTTCCTGGCTACGACGTAGCACAATAGCTATTTATTAAAAAAGGTCCCTTTGATATGAGCTCCCTGCTCAAACAGCATACAATACACATAAAAAACATATAAACAAACATTTAGATAGGGTATATGCTAAGCTAGAAGGCTAATTAGTTAATGGTATGCTAAACTACTACACTGTGTGTAGCCTACTACACTCTAAAAAATGCTGGGTTAAATATAACCCAGCGCTGGGTTAAAAAGGGACAAACCCAGCTATTGGGTTGTTTTGACCCAGCGGTTGGGTTGTTTTGACTCAAAACAACCCAACCGCTGGGTCAACACAACCCAACTGCTGGGTCAAAAAAAAAACAATAGCTGGGTTTGTCCCTTTTTAACCCAGCATTTTTTAGAGTGTACACTGTGCAAAACATATGCTAACTTAAAAAAAAAACACACAGAGAGAATGAGAAATGTTTTATTTCACAGTCTAACTTCGTTATATTAACATATTTTAAATCATATTTAAAATACATAATGGTCGTCGTAATAAGACTACATCATGAAGCAGTTTTGAAGGATTTCTATGGGTAGACCAAATTCTTAATGACTTAAAGGCTCATTTTAGTTCATTTGTTAAAAGTATCAGTGCATTTGAATGGAATAAGTTTAGCTCAAGTTTAAGTTAATTTCAATGTAATAAACACAAAAAAGTATATGACCTGTCCCCCACATGAAAAAGTTTGAAATCCACTGGTCTTTTGGCATCCACATGATTCACACACACACACACACACCTGAAGAACATATTTTAATATGCAATTTGAATATTGGAATGTACTGCAAACACTGTCAGAATAGGTACCATGGTGTGAATGTTTCTTTGGTTGGCGTAAACAGAGGCCATATCCTCTTAAGCCATAGAGACTAATGTATACCTTTTCCAAATCAATGAACAGACTCCCATTGCGCCAACACACTTTATCCCATAAGTTGAGGTAATCAGTTTTCATCAGAGAGGTATAATTTACAACCACAAGAGGTCGATCTACACACTAGCAAGCGCTGCTGTCAGGGCCAACATACCCCCCCGGGGCTTATTTTTCCCCAAAATGAATGCCACTTCTTCCAGCCAAGCAGCTTCATATTGCCATTTGTAGGTTAGTCCGGATAAATCATTCAACCCCCTCTTGCAAACATCCACAACAGTTCCTTTCAGATAAGAAGGTCAGGGAGCACATTCCAGGCCAAGGTTGACAGTATTGGAGTCTAAATTAAGAGTCTGCATGTGGTAGAATGCTGGTCAACAACAGCCTATGTATGAGCTTAAATGGTTCACATATTCATTCAGATAGTACACGGCTGAAGCCATACACATTTGCTATTATTTTAACCTTAAAGGGAAGAAAAAATGATAAATATACATCTGTTTAAATATTCACAAGCTCATATCATATGCATAGGTTTTCTTTCTTGAAAAAAAATCATAGAGAAATGTAATAATAAAATTCAAACTGCATACAATGGCAACCCATGTAACACATCTCCACCTGTATGCTGTCTAGAATGGTGTGCAAGAATTGACTGAAAGCTGATCCCTTAATTTCGATTTTCTCTGGCAGAGAAGAGACTCTCCAGATCAGGTTCACACACTGTGATCCATGGCATTGCTTTACACATACATTCTGCTGGCTTTGCTGTGTAAAATACTGGAAATGTCTGTATTACTTCTAGTTCTAGGGGTCAAAGAGGAACATTTTATTCCTGCTCAGATGGAACCCCTCATATTACAGTTCACGTGTACCTTTGTTTACCAAACAAAATACTCAATGCCACAATAGGGTATATGCCTGTATATTCATGTAAAAATATATTGGAGATATATAAATATGCAAGATTACATATTTTATGCAAAATCAGATTATGATTATGCAACCATTACTCCAGTCTTCGGTGTCACATGATCCTTCAGAAATCATTGTAACATGCTATAACAATATATGTCTACAGTGCGTGTATGATTATGAAGTCGAAATTCTGACACACACACACACACACACATATATATATATATATATATCCTAAGCACATTTTACCAATTCGACGCCATATCAATCATAACTACTATGAATTTTGTATAAAAATCTTTTATAAGTCATATATAATCGTTAACAAGGGCTAAAAGTTATAAACTCATTATTCAGGTCCATAAAACCTAAAAAATATATATATATTTAAAAGTCTAAAGAGTTCTGATGGTTTAATTCTTGGTTTAACACCTAATTCTTCATCGTAAGTCTGACCTTAACATTTTGTCAATGTTGAAAACTCATGCGGCTGAAACTTTTTTTTCCTCAATATTTTTGGATGAATCGAATATTCATAAGAACAGCATTTATTTGAAATATAATTTTTGTAAAATATCTAAAGACAGTTTTGATTAAAAAAAATCTTACTGACCCCAAATATTTGAAGGGTAATGTACATTAATTCTGTACTGAACTATGAATACCAGCATCACAATAGTTTGTCATTTTCTTTTCAACAAGGTGTTCAGACAATACATGTTTTACTGTACACTACAGTATTTAGGAATTGGGGCAAATCTCTGATCAGTTGCAATGTCAGGGTCCAACTGCTGGTGGAGCTGCAGACCTTAAACTCACTGGACAAACATGAACGCAACAATCTAGTCAAATAAAAGCTAAAGCCTAAAAGTGCAAACGTGCCATATTCTTTCACAGCCAAAATAGCATTGTGTGCAAGGGCAAGGACTGACAATCACTAATATCTGAGCTCCCATTATGACCCAATATCTATGATTCTGTAATCAAATCCGTATGATTATTGCATATCATACAATAAGCACAAAATGATAGTACCTGTACACAGATTTTGAAGCCAGTATTTGTTACCAGTTATGATGTTGCTCTCTAGGTCATTAGAGCAGCCCTCATAAGACAGAGACTATTTAGTCATTGGGTCATTACAGTGAACAGCGCTAAATAATCTCGGCGCGCAGAGCAGCGTCGTCAGAGGGACTCTGGTTTTTTATTACAATAGGAAAGCATTTGCTGCAGTCGCCATAATGATATCAAGCTCCTGCTAGAAAGCCCCCGCTCACTCCGGTTACGGACAAGGTTTAATCAATATTGTGTCCTTCATCCTGCATTCAGGGCTGACCTTGGCAGCCTTTTGTCTCCTAAACGAGGGCAAAGAGCATATAAGTGGATACACAGAGAAAAAAAAATAAGGGTCCAAGCATTGATCCCACATGAAAATAAAACACTAGTGCATCCAATCAGCTCATTAGGAAGCTAATGAATCATCATGTTTATCATTATTTTACCTTTGCCTAATGAAGTGTCACCGTGCCATGATCGTTTGTAAATTTATTAGAGTCTCCTAATGTAGGCAGAAAGGTTAGAAAGGGGCAGACAACACCAGCACAAACAGATCAGGGTACAGTCGGGGTCGACCTATTGATTCATTTGAAAACAAAGAACATTGTCATGCAATAGAGGGCTATAGTAAACCAAATGATGTGAAACCGTCAGCAGGTACATTTAAGCAGTGAATATGGAATATGCAGATAAAGGAGCCCTGAACAACTTGAAAGTGTTAATCAGCAATTCCTTACGACTGAATTATCACCATTTAAAAAAAAAAAAGTGACGTGACATGTGGCCAAGTATGGTTACCCATACTAGGAATTAGTGCTCTGCATATATCCCATCCAAAGTGCACACACACAGCAGTGAACACACACACCGTGTGCAGTGTGTAGCCATTTATGCTGCGGCGCCCAGGGAGCAGTTGGGGGTTCGGTGCCTTGCTCAAGGGCACCTCAGTCGTGGTATTGAAGGTGGAAGAGAGCGCTGTACATTCACTCCCCCCACCTACAATCCCTGCAGGTATGAGACTCGAACCCGCAACCTTTGGGTTACGGGTCCGACTTGCTAACCATTAGGCCGACTTCTATGAATTAAAATATTCATAGAAGCATCTCAGGAACAGATAAATCATGAAAACGCAAAAGCAAAATCTATTGTCGAAAAACAAATTTACTGCATCACTCTGCAGAACACCAAATTTTGTGTTACAAAACATGAAACAAACTTATTGAACATTATCATCAACTAACAAAGGATTATGAAAATCGCCAGTAAACAATTTACTTATCTAATAATGAATAAAGAAACTAGTAAAATGGCTTCACATCTTCCTCTTCTGGGTGCTGATGTATAACACTAGAGGACAAAGAACACAAAATGAACTTTGGTATAAGCAAAACATATTAAAAAAAGTTTTGAAAAAGTTTTGAGAACATGCTCACATATAGCTTCCGAAACTACATTACTGTTAAAAAAAATCACTGGGCATACCACTCAGGAAAGCACAGGTCTTTATAAAACAAACATCTATACATTACACACCGTTGTTTCCTCTGAGAAATGCATCTCCATACTTGTTCTTCAACTGGCCATTGACATATTCCTCTGTCTGTTCCACAGCAATATTCATGTAGCCATCAAGGCAGGCCAGGACTCCTGAAGGCAAGACACATGTTAGACAATGAACCTTATGTGCCTTTTCGATACTTTTTTTGCCAAAGATCAGGGGCGCAGGCAGAACTGGTGGTAGTGCACCTTTTAGAAAATGTAACTTTCTCATCTTAGTAATATTTTGTATAGATTGCACATACAACCAATTATTTGTACAATAAAAATCGCACAATATTGAACAATAAAACAATTACGACAAAACAAGCATTGAAGAGAGCCATTTAAAAAAAAAAAAAACTTATTTCAATTCACCCCCTCAACAACATTTTTCCTCCCTCTGAAGAACCCGTTTTCTTACTGCATATATGAGGAAGCCCAATTTTAAAGTGTGATTTTTAGATCTTTAAAATGTCATGTAAATTGAAACAACCTTATAGCGTTAAAGGAATATAAATCTCATTTAAGATGCTCTTCTACTTTTACCTCTGTAATCAACACCAGAGTTCAGCTTCACCACCACTGGTCTCCCAATGATCTGCTTCAGGAAATCACTTGGTGTCTGCTTCCGGAGACTCATTTTCGACTGAAAATACAGAGATCATAAATAACGAACTAAATAAAGATTATGAATAACTAACTCAAACACAGACACTGTACACTGGCTGTATCGTTAGGTAAAAGAAGTGTTACTGTAAGGAGAGCAGCGCCGTAAGATTTGTTTATCCCTCACGGACTATACTAAACACATTTTTTACAAATGAGACAGTCAGTCTATGTTTTAACCCGCTGTCCTCTGCAGTAGTAACGTTACAAGCTGTTCTGTTTGGACAGAACCGGTGTACTTGTAGCATGAGCTGCTAATTTAGCCTGCTAGCATTACAACCCAATGTAGAGCACAATCCATTTATTACACAAGTCACTGGATATAGTACTGCAGTTCATTTAACCCTGCGATAACGTCAAATGTACTCATTCGTTTAAAGAAAATAAAGTAGTCGCTCGCCTCTATCGTTTTGCAACGTTTGCCGCACGTTTGGACTAAGCGTCTGTGTGTTGACCAATGAACTGAAGCGCTTATTCTATTTCCACGCTGTTTACACCGCACAGCCAATCAGATGCGTCGATAATAACCTAGCGTACGGAAGCCGCAAAGTTTTACTGCAGTTCATTTAACCCTGCGATAACGTCAAATGTACTCATTCATTTAAAGAAAATAAAGTAGTCGCTCGCCTCTATCGTTTTGCAACGTTTGCCGCACGTTTGGACTAAGCGTCTGTGTGTTAACCAATGAACTGAAGCGCTTATTCTATTTCCACGCTGTTTACACCGCACAGCCAATCAGATGCGTCGATAACAACCTAGCGTACGGAAGCCGCAAAGTTTTTTTATATTGAAAACATCGATTTATTACAATGAAAGATAGCCTTTAGCAATGATCAAGAACAAAAAACCTGTTACGAGGGATTTAGAATAATAACAAGGTAAAGAAAGCAAGTATCAAGATAAAACAACATAAAATAAAAGTAAAATGCAATAATAATTATCAAAAACTAAACAAGGAAGCCGCAAAGGTGCCATGTACTGTGATAAAGAATGCGGAGAGGGAAAATGAGCCAGAAAGACAAAGGTAATGAAGGAAAAGCTTCACTTTTGTTTTATTAGGAAATTAGAATGATAGACAGATATAAGGATGGATGAGTGAGCTAATGATAGATAGATAGATAGATAGATAGATAGATAGATAGATAGATAGATAGATAGATAGATAGATAGACTAAAAATGAGGTGTAAAATAAAATATTTTGTGTACTGTAAAAAAAATATGCACAAATATTGTGTATACACTAAAAAATATATGTATATCTATATACATTGTGTAGAGAGGTGTGACTAAAAACAGGAAAAAAATATCTTGAGTAGCCAAAAAGATAGATGGGGAAGAAAAAACCAGTCTTTTGTTCACAGGCAGAGGAGGGCATGCACCTGAGAGACAGAATCATAAAGCACTTCTGGCGCATCCAGACAGTTTGCTTGTTAGCAGGGCATTGGTAGCCCTGAGGAGGCTAGAGGTTAATTTGGTATCTGGTGCCGTGTTAAACTAAGGTCAGCGCTACAAGTCCTTAAGTCATAAACAAGTGTGGTTAAGAGCCGTGTACACACCTAGGCACAAGTTAATGAATATTCAATGAGTATTTTTTTCCCTTGTTGCCTGAGTGCATGTCCTAAAGGAGGGTTAAGAGAGAAAATGTGATCTAATGTGTTTTTCTATCAAAGCAATCATTCATTTAAGAAAAAAGAAAATAAATAAATAAATCGAACAAGTTAACCAATATCTCAGTAGTGGCACACAATACCTGCATGTTCTGTGGTAAATAAATAAAGCATGATTTGAGCGATGTGGCAAAGAGTTCACACACACACACACACACACACACACACACACACACACACACACTTTGGCACATTCTTGACTTTACCAGAAAAGCGTGAATGGCTTGGCTTGTTAAGTGATACTGAATAAAAACACAATGAAGCTGCACAGATAAGAAAGCATTTCATTAGCTTTTTTCTTCACAGTTTTTCCTGTTGTTTGGCAAAGGAAGAAGAATGCTTCAGTCAAACTCTATATCACAAAAGAAGACATTTTAACCTTACCGACCTGTCCTTCAAAAGTTTTTGGCTAAATATTTTGTACGTGTCGTTGACGTGAATGTGCATTAATTGTATAGCACCAAATGGCTAGGGACAAAAAATCTTTCAGGTTTCCTCAACGCAGACAATGCACTCTCACCACGAGCCTGGGAATAACCCCACAGCTACTCCCAAAACAGTAACGTGTTGGTAATAGTTGCCCAGTGATGCCAGATGGGACTGTTTTCACCCTGCCTTCAAGACGCTGGTGAGCTCAGATGGACAGTGGCACAGTTCATTTGCTGGTACAACCCGCCTCACCTTTCTAAGACATTCAAAGACCTGAGAGGGAGTAGAAGAAAAATGAAAAGATTACAGAGGCAGCTTCAACAGAGTTGGGGGTGGGTCAGGCTGAGGGGTGTCAGATGCGAGGGGAGGGGGGATCCCTCGGTTGCCGCAGGCTGTCTCGAGGAAGAGGACGGAGGGGTGAGTAGAGGAGAGTCTAGACTAGGCTGACCTTTGCGGGCCAGGGCTTTCTCTACGGGGTCAAGTTGGATATGGAGGGGGGATAATGGAAAAACCTCAAGGGAGTTTTCAAATGAAATCCAGATTGGCTGTCGGCATGTAGTTGTTCTCCTCTCCTTCCCACTCCCTAATCCCTGCACTGCATGGGGGTAATAGTGTGGAAATGATGGGGGGCCTTGATCAAAAATGAGCAGTGGAACCTTGCTCACCTTTTCTAACACCCAGATTCATGCCCACTATATATATCTGTGCATGCAGCCACTGCAGGCCAGGTTATCCTATGCGATTCCAGGCACTGGCTGCAGCCTCTAGACCTTTGTCAAATACATAGCTGAAATGATTTAGGAGAGCCGCCTTATATTCACATCCTTCTATACAGTACTTGAAATGATCTGAAGCGAATGTATGAGATTTAAGAATTTGTTCGATGTATTTGCATTGACATATCTGACATTGGTTCAATCCTATCATCTTTCTAGAAAAAAAATATCTGCAGTCCTTCTGAAGAGAGAATCTCACAACATTTGAGATATAAAGAAAAATGTCATTTTTGATTAAAATTTTTTAATATTTGGGAAATGTGTCATTTAGAGTCCTCAAGTGTTCACATTGAACTATTAGCAATGTCTGCCTGTGCAGTGGAGTATAAGTGCTAATTGCTAATTAAAGTTAATGAGACTCATCTTGATTCTCTGTGAGCTCCGCCATTTTGAGTGTGGTAAATGCACAGTGCCTGGCAAAAACCAGTGTTCTCATGTTATTGAATTACATGTTCTACACTGATATGTTATTGAATTACATGTTCTACACTGATATTTTATTGCTCTTAAAGGAATACTCCACCCAAAAATTAAAGTTCTCTCATCAGTTGTGTACCAAATGATGCATTATACACAATGCACTTATTCTATTCACTATGTACTTAACCGTCTAGTGTATGAATTATATAAAGTTATTTTGTCATCCAACACTAGAGTCCGACAGCCCCTCTCACTCTGCTATGTAATTAAAGCTGCGACAGTTGAGTGCATAAGGTGTCCAACATTCTACTCTTAACTTTTTTATGGTTATTTAAGTGCATCATCTGGGCATTTGAAATGCACATTTTCTTTCATGAATTTTCAGTGTGAGCACACTAATCACACGATTTATAAAAAAAATGGCATAGAATAGTGCATAAGCATGCGAATTGGGACGCACCTATCATCATTTAATCACCCTCATGCTGCCCAGATGTATATGACTTCCTTTCTTCTATGGAAAACAAACAAGAGATTTTTAGAAAAATAATCCATCTCTGTAAGTCCATATAATGCAATGTGGATGGGTCCCTCAAAATTTAAAGGGGTCATATGATGCGATTTCAAGTTTTCCTTTCTCTTTGGAGTGTTACAAGTTGATTGTGCATAGATAAGATCCCTGGAGTTGCAAAGACTAAAGTCTCAAAACCAAAGAGATATTCTTTATCAAAGTTAAGACTCTGCCACGCCCTCTAAAACGGCTCGTTCTAACACGCCCCCACATATCTACCTCACTATGTGGAAATATTTGCATAATGCCGCCCAAATGTGCACGCAAAGAAAGAAGGCGTGGTTTCAGTAACCGCAGTTAGTGTTGAAGCAGCCATGTCAGGGAGACGCTGTGTGTTTCTAGGTGAAAGCAAAAGCACTTTATTTGGCCTTCCGAAAGTAGATGCATTTAGGAATCTTTAAGATTACTTACAACAGAACAGCAATGCATTTAAATGGACGACCATTTCGTGAACCTAGGAGAGGAGGTAATTCTGACTTTGCTATGACAATCTGGCGCTTCTGAATCAAAAACCACGCAAAATGAACACAATGGTAATCAACACAACCCCAGTTAATGAGTAATTGTCTTCTGAAGTGAAATGATAAGTGTGTGAGAGAAAAATACTAATATTTTAAACTTTTGAAATGATAAACCATGGCTTCTGGCCAACTGTCAAACACAGGTTCATGAGTTCACTCTTAAAATGGTGATTATTTTTCTAAAGATCTCTGTTTGTCTTCCACAGAAGAATGAAAGCTATGTATACAGTAGCTGGGATGGCATGATGATGAGTAAATGATGAGAGAATTTTCATTTTTGGATTGAGTATCCCTTTAAGATGACACGTTCACCTTTACTCCCTTTCAGTTTTTTTTCTTTTTTGTTGTGTGAAAACTTGTGTGGTTTGTAGCTTTTGGATAATTAAACCAGCCAAATCTATAATGGAACATTGGATATTTTTTTTCTGTATGCCTTTCATAATTTATGCATTTGTTTTACTTTATAAATTCCATAGCTGTCATTCAGTATCACAACCTAAAAAATGATGCAATAACATTTTTACTGTCTATTGCAAAATGTGGTTCTGGTAAATGTTGCAATGCGACAAATGAATATTTATGCATACGGTATATTTTAATTTTTTTGTTTTTATTATAAACCAGCGTACATTTCATACTTGAAGCTTAATTTTTTTGTGTTATTTATATTTCTATGTAATTCTATACATTGAGATGCACTGTATATCTAGGCTATGAAATGGTAACCCATTACTTCTAAACTCCTGCTGAACTGTCTGTGAGGGCAGTGTGTATTCATCTGTGTGCGTGTTTGAGGAAGAGGGAAAGAAAGTCTTTTCATGTTTGAGACTGATGCCTAGCAGTGGTTTAACACATTCAGACCACTACATACGCCCACTCCTCAACCAACCATAGAACCAACTCTTCACAACCCACCCAAAAAGCATGGCTCCATTAGGAGAGTGGGACCAAAGCCAGGTAACCCATCCAGGATATCCCAGGCAAGGTAATAAACACAAACACACTTGGATATAAACTGAGCAGTGCCTGATGCTTGACATGTCATTTATGTTATCCATATAGTTTATGTTTTTATTGTCTTTGTTATGTTTAATGACATAAGTCAGTGGTTCTCAAACCTGGAGTACCCCCAGCCCTGCACATTTTGTACGTCGCCCTCATCTATCACACCTGATTCAACTCATCAGCTCATTAGTGGAGACTGCAAGACCTGAAGAGGGTGTGTCAGATATAGGGAGACATACAAAATGTGCAGTGCTGGGGATGTTTCATGGAGAAGTTTGAGAACCACTGAATAAGTCATACTCGCCCAGTGATGTCCACCAGCTTTTTTTTTTTTTTGGACCAGGTTTCCCTGTTGCTTGAGATCTTTTTTCTAAAAGGCCACGCTGGGTCAGTGTGTGAGTGTATCTTTGGTTTGATTGCATGTATCATTACAGTGATATAGGGAGAAATGTTTGCGACTGAAGGACAGAGGAGCTGAGTATATACAAAAGGAACACTTCACATCCATAAATATGCATCGTGACATTTGGAACAAAGCCCCCTCATTCTACTTTCATGATGAGTTCAGCTAGCATCCTGTAACATATTGCCCATACAGTTTCACAGGCAGTCTTGCCAGTTCATCAGGTTTGCTCTTTGCCAAAAAAAAGGGGTTGTTGTTAAAAAAAAAAGAAAAAAAATATGGAAGCTCTTTCTTAAAGGTACTGTACTTCATAGAAAAAGGATTGCCCAATTTGCGAAGCAGAGAACAATGAGTTGGTGCATTTATAGGAATAGTTCACCCCAAAATGAAAACTCATCATTTAGTCATCATTTATTAAACCTCAAGTCATTCCAAATCAGGGTTAATATTGGTAACTAAAACTGTTTAAAACATTTTTGTTAATTCAAATAATGTTTGAATAAAATGAAATTTAAATATTAGATGAAGAAGTTAAACTAAATTAAAATTAAATATGCACTAAAATGACAAACTGGAAATAAAAAAACTGAAACTGAAGCAAAGTTAAATAAATTATAATAAAAAAATTATAATAATACAAACTACACAAACACAAAACATAATGATTAAAAATTTACCAAAATTAAAATAACTGAAAATATAAAAATAAAAGCTAAACTGTATATCAATAATACAAAAAATAACACTGTATGGTTTTCTTGAAAACAAAAACAAATATGTATACAAATACATACAAACATTATATATGCCCATGATACAATGAAAGTCAGTGGAGCCCAGTGTTGTTTTGGGCCCCACTGACTCACTGTATGGGCAGAAACAGTTCAAACTTTCTTTAAAATATCTTCATTTGTGTTTCACAGAAAGACGAAGGTAGTACAGGTTTAAAATGACACTAGGCATGACATGATTTGTGGGTGAAATCCCTTTAAGAGATGGAATTGTGAAAGTAATATGTGAATGCTAGCTTCTTGTGACATTTTTTAAAACAATTATTACTAGCATTAGGCTCTGAGAAGAAAGACAAATCTCTGCTTTTATAGCCGTGAGACTAACATAGCCATGGTATGCCGGTTTCTCCTTTCTAAACACCTCAGTGGTTGTTCTAAAAAAGAGATAAAAATCCCGGCTGCCAGGAAGCTAGCCTTTCAAATCCTACACTCTCTCCTAGGGTGAGGATCTCTTCTCTCTGTCTCTCTCTCTTTATCTCTCCTCATATAAACACAACCACACATACATACACAAACTCCCACTCTGCCTTTTGACCACTAGTGTTCCCTACCACAGAGGAGTTGTGACTCAGAGGCAGGCAAACAGTGGTCTTCGCTAGCTGAATATTCATCGGAATGGGAAGACATGTTGTGCTTGATCCTGAATTATGTCACAAAGCGATGTATCCAACAAGGTGACATGGACACGTATATTGAAGAGAAATGCTTCAGGAAGTAACAGAGGAAATCAGCTCAATGTCTGACATTAATTTCTTTATTCTCTTCACAGGAATGGCATTTTACAGAACATTCCTGAGGCAAGTCTGATGCCTCAATAAATCTGCCCCAGTCTCTCCCTCTCTCTCCCTTAGCTTGTCTCAGTGGAATGTCAGCTGGCAAGTGCCCAGAAATTGAGACTTAGCCTTTCAGAACGTGCCAGTCTCACCCAAGCTTCAGAAGTGGGCAAGCACAGAAGCAGCAGTCCCCTTATCAAAGAGCTTGTCCAGCAGGGCTCACGGCTCACTGAACCACTGATCACCAAATCCTCTGACCTGCCGTTAACCCGCCAGACTCAGAGCGACAGTGACAGAAGAGTCTGTCATGGTGAAGACCTACAGAGAGACCACAGAGATGATATGATGTCGCATCGTGCATCATCATTTACATGAGGTTAGATGTGAACAAATGTCCCTACAATACCACATTCCATAGGAACAATTGTTTTGATAACACTGAACATGACGTTTCTGGACATATTCTGGTATAGTTCACCTAAACATTCTGTCATTATTTATTTTACATCCTTGTGTCACATCAAACCTGGTCTTTTTCCTGTTTCCTGTTCTTTTTTGTGACAAATTGCACTAACAAAAACGGAGAAAATACAGTTAATACTTTCAAAAGGTTAAAAAAGCACCATGAAGTCATCATAAAAGTGAACTGTACATTTTATTCCAAATCTTCTGAAACAGTAGGATTACTTTGTGTGAAAACAGGCCTAAACTAATAGCTTTTCACTAATAATATTTTTCACTGATGATAGTCAGTGGCATGTTAATGATGAATAGTAGCAGTTTGATTTGAATGGGAATCATTTTTAAGTGAATTGGTTGATTTTGTTGAATGATTCTGTCTGAATGATTCATTCATAAATTAGATTGATGCATTTATTAAGTAATATGAACTTTAATGATACTTTAACATGTCCTTTTTGAAGCTTGAAACTCTCAGTTCTCATTTGTTGTAATTATTATAATTGAAATGTGCAACCAGAGCAATTCTTCAAAATCCCTCCTTTCGTGTTCCACAGAAAATCGAATGCCAAAAAGGTTTGAAATGTAATGTAATTTTCATTTTTGTGTGAACTATTCCTTTAAATCTCGATTTATACTATTTATTTTCTATTGTATAGTGTGTCCATCTGCTGATGCAATATTTGTCCTGCTTGGTGGAATATCATGTGTAATTCCCTCATGTTTTCTGGTTCGTTTTCATGCCTAGCTCATTTTCATAGTTACGATGGTATTAATTTCAAATCCAGCACGACCAAATCTAAATTAAGAACTTCATGTTTATGCTGTTCAGCTGGCTATCTTTGATACCACATAAGCCAAGAGGAGCTGCCAGCACTTGGTTTTGTTGGTTTAATATTTTAATGTGTTTAATTATGACAGGATAGGCTCGATAACCTTCTGTGATGTTCAGGCAATTGTCAGCAAATTAATGAGATTACATGACAAGCACTGAATGACAGCGCAGCCCAGTGCTCAGTCTTCCCGCTACTTATCTGATGGTAGCCTAGCAACAGATCCCTGACCTGGCATTGACCTCCACCTGATAAGGTCAGCACCTGAAGTGTCTCTCATTGGTGGGCCCTATGAAGAGGAGGAGGAGCCTAGAAGAGAGGGCGAGAAAAGGAAAGAAACAAAGGGAAATGGAGAGAGGGCAGAAATCCCATCAGAGACAAAGCCATAGCCACACAAAAGCACCGAGGGCTCGTGTTACAGTGTGTGGATCAAAAGGGAACTGTAATCACCATAGACTCCACTGTATGTCCCATATGCAAAACAAGAACTGTCTCTGACATATATAAAAGTGTTGAAGAAAAAATAAGTCTATAATTCTAACACAGCATTGATAACATTGCAATGCATTACTAAAACACTGCACATTGGGTTGTTTGATAGAATGTCATGCCAGCGACAAGGATAAGAGTGCGTGTTTAAGTTGCTCTTTAAACGCCGAAACTACATATCCCTCCATGCAATGCTTTGTTAGGTTCTAGAAGGCAGAATTTATGAATGACGGTCGTTCCCGTCCAATTCCAAATACTATTAATTTTATGTCATTTAAGCAATACACTCCCTGTAAAGCCAAAGGGATGCAAGGATAGCAAGTGCTAAAATAATTATTTCTGTCAGGACCACTATCGTCAAAGATGATAGACAATTAGCATACAGTTTGGATTGGCGGTATGGTTCTGTTATGGGCAAGAACTCCCTGCGCATCCATGCAGCTTAGCATGGATGAGAGCAGGGAGAGCAGCGATGACCCAGGGTAAACAGAACAGAACCAACATAAATGTATTGCAGATCTCGTTAAAGTTCAATAATGTTATGTACACATTTTAGATTTAGTCTGATTCAAAAGAGAATCAGAAGGCTGAATCCTGACCGACAGAGGAGGAGTTGGGGATGGAGGAGGGTAATTAGCTATTGAGCAATGCGAAAACTGCTGCTACTACTGCGGGACCTTATATATGAATACTTAGGTGTTGAATTCCCATAGGTTGATGGGGATCAGCTGAGATTCAGCTGATACGAGCTTGACTAACGTGACCTGCCAGAACTAACGCTACGCTTGATAATCTGTAGAGAGCCTGCATTCAACTGCTAAACGTCAGTGTTGTGTTTCATGGGCTGAGATTGTTCCCTGGTTCTTAATCATAGATGTGAATCTACAGCTGAGAGGGTTTCCAGCATCCAATAATTCATTCAGAATGTATAAAAATAAAAAGATTGATTAAAATTGATAGAAACAGAAATTTTGTAATGACTGAAATAAGTGATAGGAACTGAAGTGAGAACTGAACATAAACAGACGCTTAAAGTAAAATTCAACATAAAGTAAAATAATGTTCTCATTGTGAACGATTATGGTATTATAAAAATTCACCACGCCCTTTTATAACTCCTACATCATTTTCTCACTATCTATGTTTTCATCCACCTATTTTTATGCGCATTTTGGATTGTCGCATAAAAAACCGCTGGATGGAAACGTCAATGCGCATAAATTCTAAAAATGCGCTTAAAAAACGTATGTGCACAACTGAGTAGGATAAACTTTTTATCCGATAAGACAAAATGTGCATAAAACACATTTACCGAATAAATTCCACCATGCGCATGTAAAAGTCATGTGACTTTGCGCTATGAGATGGGATAAATTGACTAACCAGTGGACCGATCTGTTCACAGCATCTATATGTTGTTTTGGTCGTTCTGAAATGCCTGAGGAAAGTCTGTCATCAAAGTTTTTCTGTATAATTACTGACTTACATGACTGCGTTCCCAAACAGCAGGCATCCACCTCTAAAAGCAATGACCGCATTTATTGTGTTACTTCTGCTCTCTCTGAAGCGCAAGTAATTTATTAGGCTACACATGAAAATTATTATATTGAGTGGCTTCTCATAGTTTTCTTAGAGATATTTAGTGGCAGTTTATCAGGAAGTGACGATTTGTTTCACTCAGAAATATATCACATTACAAATGTAAAATGGGTTGTAAACCAGTGGTGAGTGGAAAAATACAAAACAGATGTAGATAAGTATGTCCATTTTCCTGCTTTATTTTGCAGATGAAAATCATTCTCTGATCCTTCTTCATAAGGGTTCTGCTTCATTCCTCCTGACCGCCAGAGGCGGTGCTTAAGCACTAGTGGATTATCGCAGCGCCAGCTCGATAGGTCGAGATGATATACCAAAAAAGTCACGTGGTGAAGTAGGCTGAGCCTCAAGTATAATAGACACACTAGCTCAGCCTTCGGTCTCTTTTGCTTTCTTGCTTGTCTGTGATAGGTCGTTTTTCAATCGATTTTCACGCTGTGACAGCGCGCTCTTATGAGTTTTTTGGATTGGATTGTCGACTGAATTGGTGAGTTTTTTTGCTTTATTGGATATATTGTTGATATATCCATAACACTTGGTGCTTCTCTGTACTATCCAGTGGCTAGTGTTACCGATCAATTTACTGACGGTTCTCGCAAAGAGTGTTTTGTTCTCACCACGCTTATACGTTGGCGGTTCCCCGCCAACCTTATCTCTAAATAAGGATTTTGTGAAACACCAAATGCTTCTCGGGTCTATCCGGCAGCTAGTGTTTTTTCAACGCTGATAGATCGATTATTGCCTACTATTTTCCAAGCAGTTTCTGATATGTTGTGCTTCTCAGTGCAATCCGACGGCCAGTTGTCAAGTGTGTATTTTTTGTATCTCGTTGCTTTTCCCTGTTATTGCGGCGGCCATGTCTCACGGTTCTATTGCTACTGGATACGCAGTAACATGTAAGTTGTGCCCTAATACTCTTCTACCTGACGACGGCCACAATGTTTGTCAGTCCTGTTTGGTAATACAGCATTTGAGAGAGGCTTTCACGGACCCATATCTGCACTGCAGCCTTTTACCCATGTCAGAGAGACGGCTCCGTCTTGCCGAGTTGGACCCCAAGCATGACTTGGAGGAACGGAGCCGCAACCCGTCACACGGAATCGAAAACGCGGTGCATATGCGGCGGCCGGTGCTCCCCCATCTAAGCAGGCAACATCAAGGAACGAGCAAGTAGATAAAGCTTCTCTTTCTAAGACATTTGCTGTTCTTTCGTCTGAGATGTCAGAGATAAATGCCTTCTTCAGACGCTCCAGCCTGTTATGCCTGCTTCACCTGGAGCTATCACAAAGGCAGATGAAGAGGGTTCTAAAAGAATGGATGACGAACCTTTCAGTTCCTCTTCTCTATCTCGCACTGACATTGATGTGCTCTCTACAAGTGCATCTGACTCGCTTTTTCAGGATAATTTCAATGCGGTGAATGTTGCTGCACAATCTTCCCCCCAGGAGAATACAGTTTTTCAGCTGCAGGGGGTTCTAATGGTGATTGATTCACTCGGGACTAACTCCATCCTCTGTGGATGATACCTTAAAGGGATAGTTCACCCAAAAATGAAAATTCTGTCATCATTTACTCACCCTCATGTTGTTCCAAACCTGTATGAGTTCCTTTCCTATTTTGAACATAAAAGAAGATATTTTGAAGATTGCTGGTAATCAAACAGTTGGTGGTTGCCATTGACTTCCATAGTAGGAAAAAAAATACTATGGAAGTCAATGGCAACCACCAACTGTTTGGTTGCTCGTTTAGGGCTGGATAACTCGCCAGTGCAGCCAGCCCAGTCCAATGTCTTTTTTAGGTGGCCTTCAGCTGGGTCTAACTTTGCTACGCCAGCATGCAAGGATTTCGTTGCAGAGTTTTCAAACTCCCTAATAGGGTCTAGTACACCTAAACGTCGGTCAAAGACCACCTGTACACTGGCATCTATGGTGGATGCAGATAGCATTGGGGTTGGTCGTGCTCCAGAAATAGAGCAACCTGTCGCTGCCCTTGTGGTGTCACCTGATGAGGCCCCGAGAGGCAATGTGCGTTGCCCCAGTACTCAGTGCGGTTGCACAGACTCATTACTCAAAAAGGCATATGAGTCTACCACGTATATAACCAGTGCGGAGAACACCATATGTCAATTACTCCTTGCCACAACTAGTACACTTGAATCGGCAAATGTGGACCCCTCGGTTTCACAATTCCTTCAAACTGCGCTCCTGGCTATGGGCCACATCACCAGTGAACTGGGTTGTCTTACAGCCAAGCTTCTGACAGCTCGCCGACAAGTGTGGCTCGCCCAGGCAAAACTGCCAGAGGATTGTAAAAAGATACTATGAGACCTCCCAATTATTCCTGGTCACCTGTTTGGACCCAATGTCCCAGAGCTTCTGGAAAAGAGGTTAAAATTGTCTGAGGCCACTCATTAGTTGACTCAGGCTCAGCACACTCCTGTTTTTAAGGTGCCGGACATTCAGTCTCGACATTGTTTTGCAACACCAGAGCAACAATTCCATCAGCGTCCTACATCACAGCCTCAGGGGTTACAGAGGCCCTGTGCTACCAAGGACACTCGAGGTTTTCAACTTCATCAGCGGCAGTCGCCAGAGGGTCCACGTCAGCACCCCCCACTGCCGTTAAAAGTCGCACCCACAAAGCTTGAAGGCACTGGGCCAGTGGTCGATCATTTTTAAAGTCTACAACTGCAGTACTGGAGGGAGATGACAGTAGATCCATGGGTTTGGACTACAATGAGCAGGGGGTATACTCTGCAGTTTCAACGCCAGCCCCCAAAATTTTCAAGGATTGTCCCTACAGTAATAGGTGATCCAGTTTGTTCAGAAGCTCTCTCTCAAGAAATGTTTTCGCTGCTAGAGAAGGGAGCCATAGAAAGAGTTCATCCCCACTTTCAAAGGGACGGTGTTTATTCAACTTACTTCCTCGTTTCAAAGAAGGATGGTGATTTTCGTCCAGTTCTAGACTTTAGACATCTAAACGTGTGTTCCTGAAAACTCTTCCCTTTCGGATGTTACGTGCAGCCGACATTCTTCGGTAAGTAAACAGGGAAGATTGGTTCACAAGTATCGATTTGAAAGATGCTTACTTTCATGTTCCGATTGCTCCTTACCACAGGAATTTTTTTTGATTCAGCTTCAAGAACCAGACCTACAAATTCAGGGTCCTACCGTTCGGCCTGTCTTTGGCCCCTCGAGTTCTACATCCGCTGTGGTCCAGAGGAA